CCCGCTCTGCCCAGCGTGGCACGGTGCGCGCCGCGAGGCAGGCTGCCCCGGCCCGCGGGACCCCCAGTGAAGGACCACACGCTTCAGAAACTCGGGACGCAGTACGTGTGCCGAGGGCTCGGAGCCGTTGTCTGGCTGCACAGAAATCAGGCCTTTGACATTGGCAGGAATAAGTTTAACAGTAGAAAAATGTTCGGAGGAGAAATGCCAGGCTTACGTAAGTGCTGACACTTGCTGTTCCCCAGATGAATGCGGCAGGCTGGCTGGTGTGAGGGCAGCAGCTCCGCGCACGGGACACCCGTTATCTAATGATGAACTCTAGTAACCAGCCCCAGATTCTTGTACCCTAAAACCAGGGGGTTCGGGATGAAGCCACTTCCGTTTGTTTTTATTAGCAGCCGCTCTAACCACATTTGTTGGTGTCCTAATTTCTCTGAAAGGCGGGGGCCCAGGGCAGCGGCACAAAGGCAGCACTGAGGAGCTCTGTTCCCAGGGGCTGCTCATAAGAGCACGGAGTCATTTGACGTCCGAGTGTGCAGGACGGCGAGTCCTGCTCGTGGCCAGAGCACGGAGCCTCTGCTTACACGGCAGCTCGTCAGAGCCCTGTCCCCTCTGCTTTTGGTAGGCAAGGTCTGACAACACGGAGATGTGGTAATCTGGAGGGCAGGGGGGTGTTTAAAATTTTTTATCTCAAGAATCAATCTAATTCCCTACATTAAGTCGACACAAAAACTCTTGCCTTGGTCGAAATCAGAGCAGCTCCTGGCAAAATCAGGTACAAGTGTACGTGGGAGAGTGAGGAAGCAGGAGAGCGCCCGCACGGGCACAGGGGGCCGCCAGGAACGGCCCAGAAACACCCCGCTCGGTGCCTCGCCCTCGCCTGCCCACCGCAAGGGATTTTCAGTTCGGTGCTTTCTCCCCACGTCTGAAACCGCCAGGCAGGTGTGCTCTAGGCTCACCTCGACAGGTCAAGCCTTCCCAGAAAAAAACGGATTTTCCTTTTCTCCTAATCTAACAGCCAGCAGAATACAACTGCCGCGCAGTTTGACCTCTTCTCCCAAGGTGACAAAAGGTCTTATTTGCACTCCTGAAATAGTCCGTCCGTAACTGCTGGGGACGAGGTGTCAGCACAGAGAATAATCAGGCATCTACAACCCGGAAAGAGCTGATTTATCTTCACTCCTTTTATTTCTTCATACCGCAGAATCGGGCAATGCTAAAGCCCCGTCCAGCCTGACTGCGGTTCTACTCAGAGGTCTGGCTCGAAAATAGCCACCACTGCTTTCATGTAATATCTTATGTCTCTTAGGATGAGCTTATCTCCTGTTCTCCCACAGAAAAGAATAATAAATCTTTCATTTTTAGCCATAGCAACTGAAAATGCAATTGCACAGGCCAGTTTATCACAGCTTTCCAAGGCAGCTCTTCCTGAGTGAGCAAGCAGCAGTAACGTCGCTCACCATCACAGAATTAATTACCGACCTGTAACATAAACTTTGATAGGCAGCGCGTCTTGAGAAGTGAAACGCTGGATTAGAAAAGAGGGGTGGGGTTTTTGGTAAATAATAGATACAGTTAGGAAAACAGCGAATTTTCCTCATTTAAGCTCCCGGGGTGGAGCCCATCATAAAGTTTTGGTTTCGTAGACTCTTGATAAATTTTTTTGACATTTCATGATTGTTAATACTGAAACACGGAAGTGAGTTAGCAAAGAGGTAACCCAGCGGGGATCGACAAGGTGTCTTGCAACAAGCAGCATCGTTCAGTGTCCGTAAAGCCTCGATTTGAGAAATACCTGGACAACGTACACACAAAAAGATCACTTCTTCCTGCAGAGAGCTTTACTGTTGAAATGCGTGAGCATTATCTGGTTTGCACAATCCCAGGCGAAGGACGACTCTTGCCATCGATGTGCCCGGCATCCCATATTCATACGGATACATCAGGACCCGTCATTGTAACCTGATGTTTTTGCAAACCTGCCATGCAGTTCCCCCAGCCCGTGCGAGGGAGCTCTGAAGAGTGACAGCCCCCGAATCCCAGTAAGACCCAAACTCTGAAAATCCTGTCCCTCCCAGGAAAAAAGCAAAGCAGAATAAAAACCCCCAAAGCCAAAAGCAAAACTCCCAGGATCCCCCAACGTGTTTAACTTCTCCAGAATAAAAGGCCTCCACAAACAAGAGAGACTCCTACACAGGACAGATTATTTCTCCTTGCCCCGAGCCCTACAGCTCAGGTTTCTGTACACCGAGGATCACGGGGTGACGCTGCTGAGGGGCGCAGGATCCTGCAGCTCTAAGCCCCGTTTTCTCACGCAGCTCCGAGACAGACGGCGACTGGCACACCCAGGAACACGCTCCGTGGGCCGACAGCCCTGTGTCCGCCCCACGCAGGGCAGGGCAGTATTGCAGAGGACTGCAGACACACACCCCGCTCTTCCAGGGCATGCAGTGGTCCAGCCTGGCCCCCCAGGTCTCATCGTACGGGTCCGACTCGGCCGCAGCACAACACCCCTGTCCCCACAAGTATTCGTTACTCAGGCACACAGATATTGTCGTAGCCTATTTCCTTCTAGTATTCAGACATCAAAAGCCCATCGTGGGTTTTGTTTCTCGGTGTAAGCACCAAATTAAGAGCTAATGAAAGTTTCTCCCCCAGGAGAAGGACCCCAGCCCTGGCGTCCCACAGAGGCCCCGTACCACAGGAAGCAAACCTGGAGAATTTCTCATTTGTGCTCTGTGGCCTCTCGGTCAGATCACACTGAATCCCATGCTGGGACCCTGTTCTGTTTTACAAATAATAATTCCTTTGTTCCCCACTAATTTCACGATTCACAAGTCCCGGCCGTAGTCCCTCGTCAGCTGATTCCCTCACAGGCTGTTCTGTCCTCACTCCATCAGCCAGGGTATTGCCCGCGTTTTCATTTAGAAGCAGGGTTGCTTTTTCAAAGAGAAACTCCACTCAATATTCATAAGCAACAGCAAACCAAAACAAACAGCTCCCCAAATGACAACCTGCCAATGTTTAGGATGCGTCCAGAGGACCTAGCAGCTTGCCAACTTCCTACCTATTTCCGTAACCCACAAGCAATGTTATGTCTAAACAATTCCCTTCACTCTTCTCCTTTTGCAACGTTTGTTGCTCCTGCAGTACACTCAGAGATTTATTTTATTTTTCCAAGGATAGATCTAGCCTCCCCCAAAAGCCTGATACAAATATAACTGCCTCGTTTGCCCGAATGATCTGAACAGAGCCGAGTATTTCAGCCTGTCGGGCACGATAAAACTACAAATGCTTAAGCTCTGAATCAGAGTTACACAGGCCCCCCTACTTGTTAGATTCCTGAGCCTATTGTGATCAGCTCTGCCTTCAAATCCTGCAGTAAGAAGCATTTTTTTTTTTTTTTTCAGTTTTTCTTCTCTCTCTTCCTGTGATCAGCACTAGATGCTTCTCTCTTTGTCCCTGATGTTGTCTATTATTATCCCAGAGGCTTCTAACTGAATCATTAACTATTTCACTCACTTTCCTTCTGCAGCCCAGCCTAAGCGTTTGCTCTGGTGAGGAAGAGTAACTCCGGACAGGAAAACTGACAGAAACGTCCCCCTCTCTTCTTGTTCAACACTAAAGGAAAAATCCAGCGCTTAGTACCGGGGCTGAACATCAAGCAAACCGAAGCTGTTACTGAAACAACTAGAAGATTCAAGACTTGCAAGTTGCAAAAAAAAAAAAAAAGCACGTGACAATGGGTACAAGCACAACGGCAGAGCCGCGAGCTCAGGGACCTGTTGTGCATTTTCCCCGCTGTCGCTCTGTCCCAGCCAGTGCGACCAACCCCGAGGCCGGGGTTACTGCCTCTTGTTGTTATCAGATGCAGGTCACAAATCTGAAACATTATCGCTCTCCACGTAGCAATACACACGTTGCCTCTCGGTAGAAAAGACGCCGGCAGACGGATTTACAATACCCCCTTCCAGAACCCAGCGCATTCTTGTTCTTTTTTTAGCTAAGCAGTAAAATCAGGTTATTTTGATACTTGTGGTCCATTGCAATGAGTGCTTAGGGCCGTTGTCACTACCTGCATTAAAAATCCGGTTAAATGTAGCAACTCTGTCAAACCTTGTCTTAGAACACACATGGATGAGAGCTCCTTTGGGCCCAGCTCAGCCTGGGCTGCCGGGCACTCGGGGGGGACTTTGGGACCGACTGTGCAGCGGGACCGACCCCTTGGCAGGGACAACACCCACGGCAGGACACAAAGACGTTGTGAGACAGCTCCTTACCTGGTAGATCATGACTTTGAAGTTTCTGCGCTTCAGGAGCTCCGCTTCGTTGACCTCCAGCTTCTTTATCTGCCCAGCTTGCTTCTCCAGGTTCTGCCGGACAGTTTTCACGTTGACGCTCACCTTGCGCACTTTTTCCAGCATCTTGTTGACGGTGTTGCTGGTGGTGGTGTGCGCCTTTGTCAGCTTGGTCAGCTCTCCCTGGATGCTGGTCACTGCGCTGTCCATCTCTTGCTGTCTCTCCTCCAGCTGTGTTTGGGTCAGCTGGATCTGATCCACGGCTCCAATGATCTTGTCCAGAAGGGTCAGCACCATCACGCCGTTGATCTGGTCTGCTTTGATGGGCTCCTCGGGCACTTGCTCCTCGGAGGCCTCGGAGACAGTTGGGGGTTCGATAATCTGCAGAGTCGTATCCTCCATGACTGCTCGGGAGTCTGGGCCGGCGAGCCGGGGAAGCTCTCACTGCGGGGAGAGAGGGGAGCGAAAGCTAAACCCGAGCCTCTGCACTGGGAGACGCGCCAGGAATGGAGAGCACAGTGTGCGGAGTCTGTGCTGAAATTCAAATGGCACAGCTCTGCAGAGCCGTCCAGTGAAACTGCCCTGCAAAATTTTCCAGGCTTGCAGGTCATTGGCTGACTCCACCTCGGCTGTATAACAGGAGCCCGCTGCCAAATGCCTGATGACCCACCCTTTCTGAAATGATTAAAATAGTTAGAGGGGAGGCGATGGCTTTGCATGCAAACACAGGCACAGCTCAGCAAGGAATGCAAAGCTCTGGAACTACAACCGCCTCTTCTTTACCGTAAGCCTAAAGCACTGTAGGTAAGGAGAGGAAAAAACACAAACCTTGAGTAAAAGGCTCGGGAAGCTGCTGGAAAACAATCCAGCCCATCTGGGCACAGCTGTGCGCATTAAAGGGAGGCTGCTTCAGACAACTGCACACGTTAAAGTTCAGCTGGAAAATTCAGATCTTTTGCCAATACTTAGGGTTTGTTTTTTTTTTTTTCCAGGACTATGAGAGTTAGATTTTCAATACTTTAACTAAATGCTACAATTTGGATTCAGAAGTTACAGCACAGAACTTCTGGATCACAAAAATGCACACTCCCACGCGTGGGAATGTACGCAGCAGGCGCACACGTGATGCGGACAGCGTGCACCACGTCTCTGTGCAGATTTCACGCAGAAAGAAGAATTGTCATTCACTCCTGAAGGGAAGCGGCCGGCCGCTCCCCCCGCAAAGCAGCGATCTCAGCTCTGCAGTCCTCTGACAGGGACAAACCTTGTCACTGGGCTTCTAAATGCGGGACAAGCCCCAGCACACACCACGCAAAAATGTTCTTGTAGCAGTGCCCAAATACACTGTGTGACACGGGGCTTTGTTGGTAAAAAAATACTAATTGTCTCAGAAATTTGGAGTACATACTGCTTTGGAAAACATGGTGAAAAAAAAAAATCTTTATTTTGCTGACTGCAATGTCAGTATTGGCACAAAGTAGTTCAGAGACTCCTCCACAGCGCTGGCAGGAGTTCCTGCCTGGTGGCACCCACACCAGCCTCCTGCCCTAGAAGACACTCGGAGGTGCCACCCAGGAGCTACAAGGGCTGTGGGAAGGAAAATGCAGATCCTGAGAGCGACACTATCGCGGGCTGGGCTCCGCCGAGGGCAATCGGGCTCCCCCGGGCAGAGGAGGGGTGAAGGCTCCGCCGGCGGGGGCCGCTGAGGGCCCTGGCTCAGCGCAGAGCCAGGAAGGCTCCAGGCTCCCTCCTGTCCTTGAGCACAGCGCCCCGAGCTCAGCACATCTCGCCTCCCGCCAGGGCCAAGCCTGCCCGTGCAGGCTGGCAGATGAAGCCAGAGCCCTGCACCAGGGTCTCCCCAGGCTCACAGCCCCCCGAGGCAGCGCGGGGTCCGAGCACACGAGCTGGGAGCCCCGCGACGCGCAGAGGGAGCGCGGGAAGGGCGCTGGGCCCGGAACGCTCCCGGCAGCCGGCACCCCCCTGCTCTGCTCCTGCCGCAGCCACCCCGCACCGCGGCTCTCCCTCTGCATCGGTCAGTCGTGCCGGGCGGCTTCCACAATAGCTATTATGTCATGTATTTATAATAGGTTGCTTTTCTATACCCTGTTTTTTCCTGGAGGGACCTTTTTCCTGAGGGTTTATTTCCAGTGTCGGCTCTGATGAGTCAGTTCCATGAAAACCCCCTCACCGCGGCCAGGCAGGGCAGAGGCTCCGCAGCTGGTTCTCACTGGGGGCATCTGCTCCGGAGCCCCACGTACCGGGCGGGGTGCAGGCAGCGCAGTGCTCTCCGCCCAGCTCTGCCACCCACCCCATGGGTGACTTCCTCATTTGGGAATGATTAAAAACCACCAGACTAAGCAGGTCCACCGGGACAGAATCAGATACAACAGCAGAACAGGAGTTTATACTCTCGATATTCGGTAGAAGAGATGAGACGCCACACTCCGCGCTTTGCTGCGCCCGCAGCAATCACACCCCAAGATAAAATGTGATGAGTAATTTTCTATGTTAGGACTAACTTAATTTCGGCCATTTTCTGCCGTGGAGACATACTTGGAAAAGCCAATAGGTGGCTGCAGCCTCCCCTTGGGAGCCTTCGCCCTGCCTCCCGCACAGGACAGTGAAATCTGTCTCAATCTCTTCTAGTGCGAACAATTTATTGCTGCTCTTGTTGCACAATAGATACAGTTTGATCCTTGGCTCCTCCATGCTTGCACTATGCCTTAGATATTACTGAGCATTCCAATGTCCCAGAGCTTTTACAGCACCGCTACCGAATTCATTACAGGGACATGGAACAGACAGCCCAAACAAAAACTAGCATGTTCCAGCTTCAAAGAAAAGCTCTGTCAGCTGTACGCAGGACAACAAAGGACAACAATGTGCAGCATCTGCTTCCACATCAGTCCGTGAAAGTTCCCGTGACTACGGGAAATGGCTCAGCTCACTCACATCTTAAACAGCACGATACAGCTGCTTGGGGCCTGTCAGGAATAAGGAAAAGTCTTGGCTGCCAGTGGACAGACTGTTGAATTTCACCAAGTGGAGCTGACACAATTTGTTCCTTCGCTTGTAGCTGAAATACAAAGGACATGGCCTGGACAGAGAGAAAGAAAGAAAATGTTCCTCTGTTTTCCAAGGACCTGGGGATAAGTACAGGGGGAGGAAATGTGCAGTGTGAGCAACTTTCTGTGCTGTTGGATGCCTCCCACAGATGAGGAGAATTCAGCTTTGTCTGCAACGCATTTCGCAGGCGCCAAACTCCAGTGACAAATGAAGATACGTGTTATTTAACCTTCTAACTTGCTCACCTTTTCATGGTGAAGTTGAGAGATGTCAAATACGGGAATAAAAGCAAGAGCCGGGCGTTAGCAGCCCTGCCACTGCCGCTTCCACCCGGCAGCACCGCCAGCCTCACTAACCCGGCCGGACTGTGCTGGCGCGGACCAGGACCGCGGCCCTCGCGCTGGCCCCAGCGATGCTGCCATTTCCGTATGTCCTCGCAGTCCTTAGGAGCGGCATTTGGGGTTGCAGCACCCACACCCCGCCCGTGCCCAGCAGAGCGTCACAAACAAACCCGCGGCAGGAGCTCGGATCCCCCCTCCGGCGGGGGCCAAGGCCCGTCCAGGGCCCGCTGGGGCCTCGCAGCTCCTTGGTTGCGCCTCGAGGGGCCTCGCAAGGACAAACTGATGCGGGATCCCTGCGTAAGCCCGGCTTTCGGGGTTTCTGAAGCTCCCGTCCAATCCCGTCCAGGCCCAGCGCTTACTGCGGGGCGGCCGCAGGCACCCCGAAGCTCCGCGTATTGCAGCTGCGGTACCCGTGGTTCCGGGGCGCTCCCAAAGCACCGAGGTCTCAGGCGTGTGCGAGCGTCGGGCAGGGCCGCACCCCCGGGCTGAGCCGGGCTGAGCCCGCCTGAGCCCTCCTGCCCCAGCCCGCCGCGCCGCTGCT